TTTACTTTTATCCCTAGGGTCCATCTTTACTTGCCAATAGCCACTAGCAAGATCCAGAGTACTGAACCATTTAGCTCCACCCACAGTCTCGAGCATATCATCCATCCGGGATATTGGGAACGCATCGCTCAGGGTAACCGAGTTAAGCTTTCTATAATCTATACAAAACCTAACAGACCCGTCCTTCTTAGTGACCAGACAGACTGGCGCAGACCAAGGACTGTCACTTGGCTCAATAATACCCCGATCTAACATCTTGTTGATCTCTTCCTCTACAACTGTCTTACGAGCTAAGGGTACCCTACGAGGTGGTAACTTTATCGGAGTGGCATCTCCCATATTGATCTTATGAGTAATTAGGCTAGTCTGACCAAAAGTACCATCCTTATCAACAAACACATCCTGATACTCAGCTACAAGATCTGATAAAGCCTGTTTCTCATCAACAGACAACTCCAGGGAACTATTGTCAACCAAGGGTACAAGATGGGGTGGAAGATCTAACTTGGCTTGAGAGTGACCTGACTCCCCAACCTCTACACACTTGTCTACAGACTCCACTGTACCCATGACCGATGATGGTCCCACACTGACGTCCCTATTGGTGATGTTAAGCACTGAAATAGCCACCTTATGCTGATCCATATCAACTAAACTTCTAGCAACAAGCAATCCCTGACCTTGCCAATGCTTGTTGGGCTCTATCACACTCAGACACTTGGGTACCAGACCCTCAGTCTCACAAAAAAATATCTGCTCTGATTGTGCAGGTATTCTAACCTTATCAACAATCCTTATCCTAGCACAGCTTTTGGTTGTCCTTTTGTACAACTTCACCCTACCCTTCTTTGTCTTGAGAGTACGTTTTGTTACGAGGACATCACACCCAAAGGTTTCAAAGAAATCCATGCCGAAAATTCCAGATAAACCATCAAGATCAGCTATGACGAAATTGTGTCCAAAACACAAACCATCAACCTTAAATTCGACCATAGACTGACCTTGTACCTCCAACTGTCTACCATCAACAGTAACTAGGTCGACATCCACCCGAGCCAGTTTCTCGGTGTCAAGACCTAACCTGGAAAATTCTTCAATAGACAACAATGAAATTGGTGACCTCGTATCAATAAGCATCTCACTCCGATGATCATCGACCTGGATATTTGTGAAGAGACAACTACTAACACCCTGGATATTACGTACACGATAGGTGACTTTGGCACAACTGGAAGTTCCTCCCTCCAAATGAGTACCCGAGTCATCTTCGCTATCCAAACTAGATTTACCTAGCTCTGGCCCTACAGGATGCTCCACCTGACAACTCAGTCACAGCCCGATCTAGTTTTCCGAGTCATTAGCATGATGTTTTGACAAGGAGAGTTCCTGCAACTCTGCTAGCTTTGGACACTCCCTAACCATATGTCCCTGTCCCTTGCAGAAGTAACAATTCAATCCTTCTATCATTACCCTTCCTTTGCCTAGTGAAAGACTGCTGAAACTGTTGCAACTTCCTATCAATCAACTGAGAGATTGATTCAAGAGTCAACGAACTGTCAACCTTCTCCGAGCCTACAACCTCAGTAACAGCAGCACAAACCTTGCTACTACCTTCACTGGGTTTACGACACCTACTCCCTTCGACAGCTTCGTACTCTATTGCAAAAGAAATAGCCTGTTCTAAAGTCTGGGGATGACTAAATGTAACCCTCTTTCTCATCTCAAAGTCACTCAAACCAGTAACATACTGATCAATGATCTGCATCTCTAGAGAGCTACAAGGAATGTCAGGGTATGCCAACAAAGCCAAACTTCTGAGCCGATAACCATAATCTGCAGCAGATTCGTCCTTGTTCTGACGTCTATTCCTGAACTCACAACGATGAGCTATACTCCATTCCCGTGGACTAAACCTCTGAGACAACACATTCCTCAATGCAGTATAACTGCTAAGCTGGCCATAAGTGAGGTTACTAAGCAAAGTCTGAGCTGTACCACGTAAGTTCATACTCAGCTGCTGAGCCTTCTCCAAATCATTCCAACCATTCCATGCTGCAACCTGTTCAAAATGAACTATGTAATCTTGCCAATTTGTAGATCTACCATCAAATGTATCAGGCTGAACCTCTCTACGAGACGACGTAACAGACCTATAACTTTGACCTACATCCCGAGGTATTGATGACCTTGGAGGAATGTCTAAACCAGAAAATTCCCTGCCGCCCCTCACTGGATAGGAAATATTGTGTCTACCAGAGAGATAATCCGGAAACTCCAAACGTGTAGTATTTGATAATGAAGGTTCAAACCTAACAGAACGATCTTGACTCTGACCTTGACCTGATCTAAGGTCATGTCGACCCACACGAGTTCGTGAAACACTTTCGGTTCTAACACTGGGGGAATTGATGTGTAAACCACCCACATACCCCTGACCTAACCCAAGGTCATGCCGACCCGCACCAGCTAATGGAACACTCTCAGTTCTAACACTGGGGGAATTGATGTGTAAACCACCCACATAACCCTGGCCTAACCCAAGGTCATGCCGACCCGCACCAGCTAATGGAACACTCTCAGTTCCAGCACTGGGGGAATTGATGTGTGAACAACCCACATACCCCTGGCCTAACCCAAGGTCATGCCGACCCACACCAGTTAATGGAACACTCCCAGTTCTAAAACTTGGGGAATTGATGTTTGAACGACCCACATTCTCCTGGCCCAACCTAAGGTCATGCCGACCCACACCAGCTGATGGAACACTCTCAGTTCCAGCACTGGGGAAAGTGGGATGAGAACGACTAACATTCTCCTGACCTACATCTACCCGAAGTAACCGGGAGGCGACACTATGTGGTGGAACGTACGGAGTTGACATACCATAATTCTCATCACCTGTAGGAGACGCACAAAAAGCCTCATTTTGAAAAATATATGGGGACAAACCAAACATCTCATAGTCCAAATCCATATTGAAATATGCCGATTACCTAAAGAAAGTTTTACCAATAAATTGAGAAACTCCAAAACAAACTAACTTTAAGCAAAGTATCCAACAATACAACAGCTACATAAAACCAAAATATAACTGTTAAACTTCAAATCTGCATCATTTCACAACAAGTATATGAATAATACAGAACTAGAAATGTCCATGATTAATCACAAATAAACTGCATCCTGGTCTCGGCACCAAAATGTAACAGGCGTGGTTTGCTCTGTCTTGTGGAAACTACATGTTCAATGTGTGATTATACTTTGCGTTGTGTTTTTCCCTTTCAACTGGCATGTTTACCACAAGAGGGTATGCTCCAGGTATAAATCCGTAAATCCGTGAGCAGAATTCTCCTCCACGCTGTTTCCCAGTTACGAGATGCAGCCTTGCGATTCAGGACATAAGACAAAATTTATATCACCATTTTATTTTCCCCAAAACACAAACTCCAAACATAACAAAATATAGTTCTGGGAAGTTTCAACAAAAATCTACATTAAATTAACAAACACGATCCCCACCTAATCCCGACCTAAGATAAATCTAGCATACTACAGCTGTCTTTAACAGCGGTAGTTAGTTTATAAAACCACCCGTCCTTCCCACTTCCTAACCATTACCCTGTATATCTATATAAATATATCCCTAAAAACTAAATACCTTTATTCCCCCCCACCCACCTATACCTATACCCACCTATACCTATGGCTACCCTCCTAAGTGCTTCGCCGTGAGAGGGGGGGTCAACTGTTTCGTCTCGAAACAAGGACTGGTCCGTCACGGAGCAAATTCTACTTTATCGCAAAGCAACTGGGAAGCTGTTTCGTCTCGAAACAAGGGCTCACCTATCCTCGGGTGTCTCCAACTCCAAACACCTGTCGCGCGCTCCTTATATACGCAATAGCGGGCCTGTCCCACTAAGCGAGGAGCACACCCCTACCCTTGGAATGGAACCTTCCAGTGCGTGCAACCAATCGCTGTGCCGAAACGGCAAGCTAAACCAAACAACCTGCGACAGCCGTAACCCGCATGTCCCCGCAAACACCGGTAAGAAAAATCCGTTTCATATCCCCAAAAATGTATGATTTATACCCCCAGCTAAATTACTAATGCCAGCCCAACCCTTCCTAATATCCATAGCAACTATTAAACTTATCCCCCGTTACAGGATATTGCTCCGTGACCACGACCGGCATCTCCAGCGTGTTGGCAGCGTTCAGCATTCTGTTTGCTACATTGATAATTTGTGGGAAGTACTGAATAGTAGGCCAGAACTTTTCCTGCATGTCACACAGAAATAATGCCGAGTTTTCTAAGGCAATCTTTCCCAGTCTTCTTGAGGCCATGGTTTCTTTTATTTTACGGTCAGCGGAGGTCAAGGACGAAAGATACCGCGAAAACGGAAAATGATCTTCGGAAGTGAAATAGTACAAAGTTATCCTTCTTCAATGCATGAATAAATATGAGTATTGTAACGGACATACTAATATCTATGCACACAAGATAGTTGGTATTTGTTTATTTCCTTCTGTTATAGACTTTAGAAGGATATAAGTACGTGTTTCGTTTTTGGATTTGAACACCGCTGTCTGTCATTCAATACAACTCATTCGCTTATTAAGTTATATAAATAAGTCTTATTTATTTTTCCACGGTTTAGAGAACAAACAAATCTTATTTTAATTAAGAGAGGCGGGTCATATTTAAGACACATAAATTTAACAGTAAAAATAAAATTTCTGAACTATTATTTCTCTTCTTTCTCCTATATAATACTAGCTGTCTTCTATATAGCGTTTCAACATAGCGTCCCCCATGTAACAAGAAAACTTGCACCTTACTCAAATTCATTCCATGGGTTCTTGGTTCCAAGCTCAAATTATCCGACTACTACGAAATTGAACAATACTGTTGCTATATTGCCTTGTATTTTCGAACTATTTTCATTAAAATGTCAAGTTGCGCGGTGCAAATCATCGTCTTTCTAATAGTGTGATTCGTGTGTCGGTTCAGTTTGGGCACTGAAGTGAAATACTCAAAACATAGACACACCGATATCGTCATCATTGGCGGTATGGGTGATTTGTCCAAGAGATATCTCATGCAAGGATTTTATAGTCTCGTAACAAAATATACAACTGAGCACAATTCATTCACCTTCTACCCGACTGGGCGAACAGACCCAGAAAGTACAGAACCAATATTATCCAAAGTACTCGATGAACGACTTACTTGTGAAAAGACTGATGGACCTGCGAGTAAAAAATCCAAAGAGGACTTCATCAATTCAGTCAAATATTCTCAACTGAAAACAGATGAACATTACAAAACCTTTTGTGATGGTATGAAAATAAAATGGGAAAATCTTATGAACGGAAAATTGAATGCTGACATAGAGGTTATATTTTACTTGTCAATTCCATCAAGTGGATACTTATCAGCTGCAAAATATATAAACAAATACTGCCGAACGAAAAAAGTTGTTTTGGAAAAGCCTTTTGGCCTTGATCGCCAGTCTGCTAAAGCAATGGGACTTGAGCTGTCTAATTCATTTAATGAAGAGGAGACTTACAGGGTTGACCATTACCTTGGAAAAACAGTTGTTAGAGAAATCCTAAATTTCAGGTATATCAATCACGTCAAGTATTTATTGCATGTGGATAAAAAGTTTGCAGTCTGCGCTGTTTTCCAGCTCTATTGTGGCATCTATTATGTAAATAATTAAATCTACAACAGACAATCTGTTGTTTGACATCGCAAGAATTAATCTATTGGGATACAATGACTTGCATTAAGCAAATCAACAAGCCTGAACATGTGATCCCATTAGTTGCCTCATAAGACAACCCAGCGTTACTGAAGGCCAATTATAACTAGCCTTATGGGTCCATTATATGAAGTAGTTAGTCCAAAGTCAGTATTGAAAGTATTGAAACTGAGTAAGACGAATGTGTCTAACTATTATACAAGCAGTATGAAAGTAAATATTGGTTTACTAAGGGCGGCAATGATTCCACTATGAGGCGAATATAATACACATCACAAATATTGAGCAACGAATATGTGGTGGCGTGTGGTCCTGTGCACAGAGCGCAGGTCACGAATCAGTGGAATGTTAAGCAATGTTGAACTCGGGTGACCGTGTTTGACAACTTGACTCCTGAGTGTCCTGCCCCACAACGAAGCACATGTGATACATGTGGTCTCCCCGATAGGCAAGTGAGTTTGTTCAAAACTGCCTCTGTCCACCCAGCAGAAAATGGGTACCCGGCTGGATAAAGTCATGTGACTATAACCTTCTAGCACCTAACAGGCAGCATGGGTTATCCGGGGTAATAATAATCAGGATGTTAGCCCTTTGAGCATGCTTTGTTGCGTGGAGATTAGCGCATTATAAGACTTCTCATTATAATTATTTATATTGGGTAACGAATACAAAAACAAATCAGCAGGTATTATATTCAATGAAGCAAAAACAAAATACATTCTTTGCTGTGTTTTGACCATGAGGACAGTGTCTATTCATCATGACAATAACCAGTGACCATTTACTGTCAAATTAAACATGTAAGACTGTTGACCACTATCCTGCCTGGATTGGATATGTTAGAGCGTTCGTTTGTGACGCCTAAGACCCAGGTTCGATTTCCCACATGGGTATAATATGAGAAGCCCATTCCCAGTGTCCGCCACCGTGATACTGCTGGAATATTGCTAAAAGCGGCGTAAAAGTAAACTTTGGTTTGTTTTCTTTTTTGCCATCTGATTATATTTTCTTAGGTTGGGAATGCTGTTTGATTTAAGACCTGTGTATAAGTTCACACAATATCATGTGGACATTCTTCCTACAAAAAGCTACAGGGCCATGACTATACTTTTTAAGGTCACCCTCGATCACTAAGTTTTAAAATTAGAAAATTTCCCCAGCAACCTACCAGTATGCTGTATGTAACTTTTAAGAGGCAACCCAATGTGATGAGGTTTGTCATTTCAACCCAATTGCATAGATAATAAATAATAATAATGATGTTATTCATTTGTATAGCGCTATTTATAATGTAGCACTGCTCAGAAGCGCTGAGTTATTACCCCAGATAATCCAAACTGCCTGTGAGATGCTAGAAGGTTAATAGTCACATGACTTATTCCACTGCGTACCCATTTTTTGCTGGGAGAACAAAGGCAATTTTGAAGAAACTCACTTGCCTAATGGGAGACCACATGTACCACGTGCTTCGTTGTGGGGCAGGACTGAAGTCCTAGAATCTGTCAAGATAGATAGATAGATGCTTGTGATGTCGATCACTGGATTGTGTTGTCTGGACTCAATCACTATTATCATAAAGTTGGTCATGCTTGGTGATTTGCTTGAGAACATGTTTTCGTACCCTGACTTCATGGACGGGGGCGGTGGGGTAGCTGAGGGGTTAGAGCATCTGCTCATCACGCCGAAGACCTGGGTTTGATTCCCCACTGGGGTACAATATGTGAAGCCTATTTCTGGTGTCCTGCATCGTAATATTGCTGGAATATTGCTGGAATATTGCTAAAAGCGGTGTAGAACCATAGTCACTCACTGCATGGGTCATTGGATTGTCTAATCCAAATTTCACTATGTACAGACCGCTGTCATACAGCCAGATCCTGTGATATGCAGAAAAAACAACACTAATTGTATTATTTTCTTGAATATATATATTTTATCTTTTTATGTATTTCTTTCCTTAGGAAACAAAACGACCACATGAAAGCTTTGCTAAACAAGGACCATGTTGAGCAGGTAGAAATATTTATGAAGGAAACGATTGGAGTTCAAGGTAATTGTCTGGACACTACAGAGGTCATGGATCCATTACGTCATTTATTGCTTCTATTTTTGTCTTACTGCTAGAGACCTATGAAGGTCTGTGTTAGAATATTGATCTTCAGTAACCCATGCTTGTCGTAAGAGGCGACTAACAGGATCGGGAGGGCAGGCTCGCTGACGTGGTTGACACATCATCGGTTCCCAATTGGCGCAGGTCGATGCTCATGCTGTTGATCACTGGATTGTCTGGTCCAGACTAGATTACTTACAGACCGCCACCATTTAGCTGAAATATTGCTGAATGCGGCATAAAACTACACTCACTCGCTCACTCACTTACTGCTAGATATTCATACAGGTGATGAGCTGTTTTCACAAGTGGGAGCTGAGACAAATATCATGTGAACTCATTTCTACTTCTAGTGTCCCCCCATCACGATATTGCTGGAACATTTCTAAAAGCGGCATAAAACTAAACTTACTCTATTTTGCAGAATGTTTGCAATTTATCGAAAAGATGCCAGAGCTCTCCTCATATGAGAGATATCTTTTAATATGTTTTGTTGATCACTTCAGGTTAACATATTTCATCATATTCCAATTGAGCAGATTGATGCTCATGCTGTTGATCAATAGATTGTCTGGTCCAGACTCGTTCATTTACAGACCGTCATATAGCTGCTAATATAATACTGCTGAGTGCGGCGTAAAACAACAAACCAACCAGCCGCTTCAGGTTATCTAAGTCAATGACACTTGTCTTGAGTCATATAAACTCACTCACTCACTCACTCACTTTCTGTCAGTCTTACCAGATTTTTATGATTCTTGTTACAATTCCAGGCAGGATTGACTTCTATGATCAGACTGGCGTCATGCGAGATGTCTTCCAGAACCACCTCACAGAACTTCTCACAATCCTTGCCATGGAGATTCCCCAAAATTCATCATCATCCGTCGACATCAAAGTCAACAAACTGAGACTTCTCAAACAGATAGAGCCAGCCAAAATGTCTTCCACTCTTCTTGGTCAGTTCTCCGATTATCTCAAAGATGCCGAAAAGGAACAGGCCGATCTTGAAAAGTCTAAATTTACACCCACATTTGCAGCGGTGATGTTAAAGGTACATTCACCGAGATGGGACGGTGTGCCATTTATTCTTGCTGGTGGAAAGAAGCTTGATGAACGATCTGGTTATGTCAGAGTTGTTTTCAAGAGAAATACTGTCTGTGTTAATAATTGCAGGGACAAGAATTTACAACAACTGATCTTTTACATAGGACATGGTGAGTTGAAGACACCTGCGATCTTACTGTCCAAGTCTATTGGTCAGCCTGTTTGGCCACAAGGGGTCTCTGACCAGTCCTCTGTAACAGTGCCGTCTGAATTATTTGGGCAGAAAAGTGAGGATTTGTTTATTGGAATCCCTCATAGAGACCCTGCTGCCTATACTGTTTTGATAGAAGATTTGTATCTTGGTATTAAGGACAGTTTTATTGGGACAAATCATTTGCTGTCGCTTTGGGATATTTGGACTGATGTGAGTTCATTGTCTTCTATACATCCCCCAAAGATTTACAATGCAGGTGACAAAGATGGAAAATTGTCCATTAGAGTGACAAATAACAAACTGGAATATACTGAAAATATTTCTGATTCGGCTACCATGGTAAATGGAGAAGCACCAATACAAAATGAAACGTTTGGACAGACTCCTTCGTCGTTTCTTGGTAACAAGTTAATCACTACTGATCGGCAGCGGCTTGCTTTCCTCTTAGCTGAAGACATAGCTCACTCGATCCAAAAAACACTAAAGATTTGAAACCCTGGGCCGATATTCCTTGGCGGTATGTACATATTGTTCTAAACTCTGTCAAAAAGAAACCATATTGCATTTTCAGGGGTAAAAGTCCAATTATTCTATTTGAAACCCTGGCACAACACTTTGCCGATATTCCTTGGCGGTATGTACATATTTGGCAAGTAGATGAAAGATGTGTTCCTGCCACGGATAAAGATTCCAATTTTGGTACAATTGAAGAATATCTTTTGAAATATATTGCCTCACCTTCTCCCGATTATTGACCAACAGACACAGATTTTTCAACCAGACAACGCCCGGCCTCATACTGCACGTGCAACAATGAACTTTTCTGCAGAATTCCTACCCTATTTCACTATTCATCCAATGCCAGTAGAAATAACAGGCAAGTTGTGCAGTGCCAATGATAATGGTTTACAGCTGTATCAAGACTTGATCAAAGATCAAATTAGTGATAAAAGATTTGACTACATTGTTTTAGGCCTCGGAGCTGATGGTCACACAGCGTCTCTTTTCCCAAATGACCTGAGCCTGAGTGCGATAAGGCAGTTTACGGCTTATGCATATGGGCCGGAAGATTCTTTTGAAACTCAGAGGATGACTCTAACATTACCAGTCATCAACAAGGCTAAACAGATATCGGTATTTGTGACTGGGAAAGGGAAGCGGCAAATTTTGAAACAGTTAGAGGATGCCGAAGGTTCCAAGGTTGAGTATCCCATCCTTGGAGTGAAACCAGATGTTACGTGGTTTATTGATTCAGAGGCACTGATCGATGGATAGAAATCAGTAGCTAAAGTACTGTCGGAAATAGAAAAAAAACTGTTTTTAGGCTGTTAAGCTATATCCCTAAAATTTACACAACTGCAAATAGCATATGTCGAAATAACCCACTTTGGCCTAACTTGGCATGCAGTGAGATGTGTAATAGGATATCCAGAAAAGCATTTTTACTCGTAAAATCGGGCAAAACTTAGAAAAAGTACGAATAGCTGTTGAAAACAATAGATCAGACTATAGATGGCAGTTAGGTTGCTCAGCCAGGTGTGACTAAGGACCGTCGACTCACCTGGCATGAAATGCATGTGCTGCATACAGGCACAAGGAGTCATCTCAAAGATATTTTATGCTTTTTCATGTGTGTTGACTATGCCTCATCTATTGATTAACATCTTACGTGTCTTTCTTTCATGAAGTTATATGTGAGATATGTAAAAGAGTATGAAACCTGATAACCATAGAAACGCATCGTATTAAATGTCTCAAAATATATAGGTGACATGACCACCCAATCGTGAAGATCGACAGGACTGGATATTATTTGTAAATTGTTATGACATACCGTGTACTTCCTCAGTATAATTGCCCTAAAGGATTATCTTTTCTTAGCTGGTATCTCTATCCCCCAGCCCGACCCCAACGATCATCTGCGACACCCGTCCAGGTTTTGCTTTTGAGACGAACCGTCCTATCTGTTTCTTTTCATAGTGACAGTGAGACTCCATGGTAGCTACATCCTTGACAGTTACAGCATGAAAGTTATTATATTTTATGCCAGCTATCGTTTATAATGCAGCTACGTCTAATTTCAAATTGGGCATTTAAAAAGTGTCATTTGTAATACAATATCGTCACACACTAATTTGCATAAAGCCATGGTCTGTTCCAAATAAATCGTTTTGGACATAGAAGAAAAATCCGCATTGCTCATTTCTGCACTAACCTATCCTCAGTAAAGTCCTTTTTCTACGTTTCCTATGTCCCTACCACTGACATTGTAGTTAGGCTGAACTTAGTTTAACAGATATTTCACACATGCACATATCAACTACATATATTGTAGAGGTAAATGAGAAAATACAGTTTTTTCGATTTCCGACAGTACTTTAGTATTAGAAGAATGCATTTGGGTTTCCCATAGAGTTGTCTCCCTTTGATTGTGTTTGCGAAATGGGTTGTGGCTTTGGGAAAAGCAACTTTGAGATGCTTTTCAATTTCAATTTTTCTCTGGTACCATCCTGCTGATAAATTATATGTTTTGCCTTTGATGTACACATGAAGTGAATCTTGTAGGCCTGTTATTGTTGGTTTCTTACTTTGTTATTAATCATCATGGGATTTTTCTAATTCCTTATGAGCTTGTTGATTTATATCTCTTGTGATTTGGTACATTTCATGTTTAATAGAAATGTATATATTTTCATTATGGTGACTTTATTGTATTCTTTACATGTCAACAAGGCAGTTTTGTCTTTGAAATCCAGGTTAATTGTTAAGCTCAAAAGGTAGAACTGGCTGTCGTTATTGATCATAGAGAGTAATAATTGTTCACTAAATATGGATCGATTATCAATAAACATCGGAGAAGTAACAAAAATGCCCCAAAAAGTCTGAAAGAAATTAATATATTTTACATCACTGGTAAGCAGAGCTCCAGATAAGGTTTAGCTTATGTGGGTACTGTACCCACTGTATTGTTTTGGAGTGGGTCTTATGAATGTTGAGTGGGTATTTCATTTTCCGTTACCCACTGCTTTCAAATGTGTGGGTATTTCAGTCATTTTACTCACCTAAGTATTATGTCATTGAGTAAGTTTACTAAGCAGGTATGTTCTGCCTTATGTCATACCTAATCAAAGCCAACTTAAATATAATGAAAATGATTTCATAAAAATCACTCATATTATACTGACAGTACAACACTTGTCCTATACTAACAGTACAACTTGATAGCAATCGATGTCTTTTTCATTACGCAAGCGATTTTTATAAATATATTCTGTACGCATTTGTTTTAAACATTTTGCGTATCTAACATTTTAAATGCATAATTGGTACGCAACAATTATTTTTTCAATGCGTAATTGGCAATTTTTTATGCGTATTTTACCCGGATACGCAGCTTATCTGGGCCTCTGGGTGAGTGGTGACATGTTTATGCATGGATTACTAACAAAACAGCATCCTGAACATAATCTAGAAGCAGCGCATGAATAAAGACCGAACTTTGTATTTTGTGCGACTAAATTAAAACTTTTTCCAGCACAAAAGTTACTGTATTATATTATCGATAACACAATTTTCATATTGATCATCATTAATGATTTTTCCTGTCGACGATATTTATGATTATCGATCATTTTAGCCTACTTTATCAAAGGCAGTTAAGTACTTGAGATACTATGGTATCTGTAGCCTCAAGTTCAAGGACTCCACTTTAAAGGTGTTGTTCATGAGAACTCAAAACCATTACATGTTTGTCTGTCAGTTTAGTTCTCTATGATCTAGTGGTCTAATAGAATAGACTGCTCATAGATGGTTGATTGTTCAAAACGAAGGCTGGAGACAAATGGGTTTTGGACATTTTCATGTTATGTCAGTTTTTGAAATGGCATTCCGTTATATCATCACTATATTTGGACCCTTGAAGATCCGGGTTAGAATTCCCAATTGCATAGATTTATGCACATGCTGTTGATCACTGGATTGTCTGGTCCAGACTTGATTATTTACAGACTGCCGCCATATAACTGGAATATTGCTGAGTGTGACGTAAAACTAAACTCACTCACTCGCACTCATTTGATATTTTGGATGTCAACCTATGTGTGACTATTGAAAATGCAGAAAAGCAACCAATCTGAAAACATTGCTTCGAACTTGCCTCCTGTATTAAACCGACATACTTAGACACAGAACCAACTGTTCAATGAGCTATCGTGACATTCATTGAGATCGTATTGTGTGATACAGATGCTGTCATACCTATGTGTTCAGTTGTATTCATTGTACTAGTACAATACCTGTGTTTCTGTGTATGTCCTGAGAGTGGTCACATCAAAAGACTTGATGACATTGGTCAGTGCTCATGTTTGCATAATTAAGATTCAGCATCTGGTATTACAGTGTTTAACCAAGAGTAATGTTTTTATAGGGTAAAAATGTGATATTCTTGAAATGTCCACAACAAAGATGCATAATAACTTCTTGTAAATTTCTTGGAACACAGTTTTAGGTTTACAATCACAAAGAGCAATACAATTTGTAAAGTGAATGGCAGCCGCTGTAAGTAACAGGCCCTGTAATATATGTCAGTGCACTCGCAAGTTTCCAGAATTTTGGCACTTTTGGATGTCAGATACTTTTGCTCTGGAATCAGAAGTGTTTGGAACTTTCAGGAGTCTGGTGTTTTCAAACAGGTATCCCATCAGTGCTACACAAGTAAATAAAATGTTGTAGGCGGTCTACTAAGTGGTACATGTGGAAACTTCTTGAATGATCAAATATTGGTATGGTTGTTTACAACAAAGGGAGGTAACCTAAGCGCAGTCTTCCAGTGCAGATGGATCATGACAAGTTTGATAAGTTACAAGTGGTTGAATTTTCTGCTGCCATTCCAATTACCAGGAATATATTTATCACTACATGACAATGCAAGTAGACCATTGCTGACATGTGCGTTAAACAGCATTAACACCTAATCTGTTTCATAGATGAAAAGATGTGGTATTGTCAAATTTGTTTGTGTAGCTCATGAATATTGGCATTAGAACTGATCTTCAGCAAAAGTCTTTGATTGTGATGTCGTTCACTGGATTGTCTAGTCCATATTTGATTATTTATGGACTGACATCACTGAGCTGGAAAATTGCTCATGATGGTTTTAAACAACAGACAAATATTGTTTTATTGTATTTTTCTTGAAAATGTTTAACGGTGTGATCTCATCATATTTGAGTGTCTAATAATCAGTGATTTGTGCATATCGATTGTGAGTTGATTGTGATTCATGTTTTAAGAGACCATATTAACTGTATATCTTTTGAAGTATTGACAATGATAACATCCCTGATTACCCGTGAAGGTCCGGGTTAGAATATTGATCTTCAGTAACCCATGCTTGTCATAAGAGGCGACTAACGGGATTGGGTGGTCAGGCTCGCTGACTTGGTTGACACATGTCATCGGTTCCCAATTGCGCAGATCGATGCTCATGCTGTTGATCACTGGATTGTCTGGTCCAGACTCGATTATTTACAGACCGCCGCCATACAGCTGGAATATTGCTGAGTGCGGCGTAAACTGAACTCACACTCACATCCCTGATATTTTATCAACTATGTATCCAAACTTCCTTGTATTTATCATCTATTTATCCCTCAATACTTACCAGCATGAATGACTTTCCTAATGTTGTTGCTTGTTAGGCTCCAGGTCGTAAAATATACCCGTCAACTTAATGTTGCTTTGCCATTGTTACCATGGTTACAACAATGTAATCACTAATTATATCTTCCTCTTTGAAACAAGTAAGTATTATGTTGAGTCTTACAAAGAAAATATACCACATATCCCTATTAAAGACGATGCACTTGATCTGTCCAAATCTTAAAAAGCTATAATAGAGAGGGTTGAATCTCCAAATAAAGGGGCGGTGGGGTAGCCTTATGGTTAAAGCGTTGGCTCGTCACGCCGAAGATCCGGGTTCGAATACCCACATGGGCACAATGTGTGAAGCCCATTTCTTGTGTCCCCCGCCGCGATGTTGCTGGAATATTGCTAAAAGCGGCGTAAAACCAAACTCAGTCAGTCAGTCCAAATAAAGTTAATGAGCCTTATCACATAAACTTAAGGATTACTCCCTTCATGTAAAAATGACATGTTTCCTGCAAATATACCCTTTGTATAACTGTCCAGTTGTGTAAGGAAGTAACAATCAATAATTAAACATTGGGTATTGAAAATATTTGACCCCCGGGTGTGTGATAGAGGAAATATGGCAT